AATTGTGTCTAAACAAAATAAACATATAACACAAATAAGTAAACCATTTGTGTAAAATTTATATTAAAATATTTTTATAATTAAGTACAAATATTTTWAATTTATATTCATTAATTTTAAGGTGATATATAAAATTGACGAGACAAAATCAAACTATAATCACCTAAAAACATATGTAAACATCACAATTTATATCTAATATTAATAAACAGTGGTTTTGATATATTTAAAAAATATGTTTTCTTAAATCTATTTTCAAAGAAAAAAATATTTTTTATATAATCTCCCACTAAATAAAGTTTAGCCACTCATTTAAGCCAGGTATTTATCAAAAAATGAGTAACTAATAAAATTGAGTTAAATWTAATTCTTATAATCTGTTTTAAATAATCTTAAAAAACTAAATAATTGTTACCTCAACTAATAATATATCATACAAAGTTAATGTGTCATCAATTAAATTAGTAAAATTCATGCCACTGTTTTCTTTAAGGTAATTGTATAAATTCTGGTGATCTTCATTAAATTGTTGGATTTCTGGTAAATTTTGAAGGTTATTAAAATCTTTTGTAAACCGAGGACAATTATTACCAAAAGACAAAGACTGAAAAATAAAGGCATTTTAATGAATTCTTATTAATACAAAAAAGAAACAACAATTTATAATATACATCATAAAATATAAAACAAAGTTTACCTTATCAAGATCTCGTGGCACTGAATGAATTGGAATTGGTTGCCATAAATTTCCTAATTTGTTGTTCCATTTTTGATCACTACTTGGTACATATAAACCAGCTAGATTAACAGCAGCACTCATTAAAGCACGATCTACACTGGTACTCCGAATATATATATCTTTACTTGAATATTTAATAGGCAAAAAATCACTGTATCTATTTCTTAWCCATTTTCCAAATTCATAATGCCTTTCTTTTCCTTGCTAAAATCATAAAACATACATAATTATTTAGTGAATACATATAAATAGCTCTAATAGGAATGTTAAAATAAAATTATAGTATCCAATAATTGTAGAAATAATATTTACAACATTTAGAAAATACCAATTACTGTAGGTTATTTATAATAACTTATTATCTTGTCATTTTAATGATAAACTATAGAAGGATTATAAATGAAATAAGAAGTATGCTCAACATGAACCGCATTTTAGTCAAATTTTACGCATATGCATGTGTTTTTGTGCATATTGCATTGCATAAAATTAAATGTATACATGCAACATCACCTTAAGTTAATTGTTGATTGACTTGATTGGATATATAATATCAAAATGTCTAATTACACAGTATTATCATCGAGCATAATTTTTCTTCCTTATACTATGATATAAGGTAACTAGTATAATATTATTAATTATTTTTTTGTTAACACAACCATAAAAAAAAAAAACTTACATTAGTCAACTGTCCATAACCCATGGGCCAGTATGATGAGTTTCTATAAGGATCTTTTGGGTAAGATAATTGAGTAATCGCTCGATCACCATGTCTATAAAGCTGAAATTAAAATTAAAAAATTATCAAATAAATAAATATGTAGCAATAAAACATTTAACTAAAATTATGAGTTAGGTATAATATACAAAATACATATTACACCAATGARTATACTTTAGTAGTCATTGTTTGATTTTTAGGAAGCCAAGAAATATCAATTACAAACAATAAAGTATTTCAAATTACAGCCAAATCTCAGCAGTAATTCAATAT